AATTTTGTGCAGTAAATTCTTCATCAAGATCTCTCTCTCTGCCTCCAATATTTTCCTCGTCACCAGTCTCTGACACTTGAACTGCCAGTTGATTTCTCGTAGGATTAGGGATCAAATCTGTACTCCCTTTCTCTTGAATTGGTTGTCCTTTGACTACTTTAGGATTTATATTTTTGGATGACCTTGCTTCCCCATTAGGACTAGATTGCATAAAACTCGATACACCTTTATTGGCATTCATAATCCCTTCCTCTTTACGTATGTTTGTTGCTTGCATTCCAACAGATTTGATCAGGAAATCAGTATCCCCAGTTGGTTTTACTGCAGCTATATTTGGCTTAGTGGATTCTTCATCAAGGCGCTTACCAACTTTGTCCATATTTTTCTCTTGTTCAATAATGTTTAGTAGAGCCACCGATGTGTTCTTAGCTACCTTAGGTATCATGGTTCCACAAGTATTCATCTTTACCACGCTCTCACGTTGCATCACTATATTTTATAACGGAATAGTGCACCTAGTTTTTTTAATTACACCTAACTCTACCTTATCTTGTGCATGTTGCATATCTTTGTTTGCCAAACTATCTCCATCATTTGAAATAGCACCGCGTGCATATGCATCTCCCTGAGTGCCAATTGTTCCTCCAGGATCAATATTATTGTCATCCTGTTTTCCAGCATTAGAACTGCTTGTACCTATTTTTGTGTTCTTTGTACCAGACTATTTCAGCTGATTATGATTAGGGATCTTCTTGTTGTTTGATTCATCTACCTTCTTCATACCAGTTATCTCTTCATTAATCAATTCATCATCATCATTGGATTTTAAATCTTCCCCATTAACACATTGTTCCTCTTCTTCTCCCTCTTCATCTATTGATTCCTCTTCATTAATGACACCTTCTGGGAGCTCACAATCCTCTGAACCTTCTTCGACCTGATCACACCACAACTTACTAGCACCTAACTATTTTCTGTCAACTGCATTGTTCAACTCACCTATTGCATTTGAGTCAATGATTTGTGAAGGAATTTCTTTGCACGATTGATTTGTAGTAACACCTTGCCCAAAAGTTCTAGTAACCCATTGTGATGTGGACTCATTTTGCGATGCTGAATTATTTCCTTGTCCACCAGGAGTAAACTTATGAGCTTTATGGTTAAGCTTCTTGGTCAGAGACCTAGTGACTTATTTCCTTGTGAATTAGGATAATTCCCACCCACCTTCTGCACTTATCTTGCTTTTTCAACCATTGTCACTTGTCGATTCTGGTCAATGTCTTTCATTACCTCTTCAAGTAATGCAAATGTATTTGCAACAGTTACAGCTTCATTAGCTATTGTTTTCCCTGTTGCATCAGTTATAGCCTCGATCAGAGCAAGTTCCTTACCAATAGTGTCTTTGTCTTTGCAATTAGTGTTTGCCTTTGATCTACTATCTTTGACTTGGTTCTATGTAGCTCTAGGATTAACAAACAGAGCAACACCTACTTCCATGTTCCCTACATCCAACTGACCAATCTCTATTGGAATAACAACAGAAACATTGTCTGTAGCAGCCTGTTGGACTCCATCATTTTGCCCAGTTTTTTTTGCATTCAATAACTGTCTAGCATCTCCCTTATATTGCTCAACATTGCTCATCGCATTAAGCATACTCAGTACATTATCCCCAGCCTTTTCAGTTGCATTACTCTTCCCCTGCATCGCACGACATGATCGTGCTTCATGCCCTTGATGTTTACAATATGAGCAATATTTTGGTAGATTATCATACACAACCTACTGATAACATTCAACAACTTTTCCAGTTATTTTGTCAATAATTTTTAAATTAACTTTATTAGGATGTTTGTCTAGTAAGTCAAGCATCACCTTAACCCTTGCGACACTTGGTCTTGTACCATCTTTTGTTGCTTTATCCACAGCCAGTGGCTTTTCGACTACTGAAGCTATTGATAGTAGAGATTGTTTTGCAAAGAAGTTGGGATGTAGTTCTGGAAAGGAAATCCAAACGACTGCTTTCGATGTTTCTTCCCTAGGATTGAATCCTAGCGTCCATGGAAAAGTCCGAAAGAAAAATTCCTCACCTTTGGCTTTAACATATCCTGTCGACCTTGATAAGAACTGAACATAATCTTCATATAAATCAAATCTTACCAGTATATGACGAAATTCAAGCTGCCCAATATTACAAAAACCATGGACCCCGAACTATTTTGGAAAATTCTGTCTAAGGTCACGCAGATTTGGTTTTCCATAAGAAAATTTGACGATAACGACTTGGTGTAATCCTTCTGCGATAGTGAACTCATTAACTTCTTTCATGGTCAATTCAATAGTTGGTTCTCCATGGATAATTTTAATCGGAATTAAGTCAGTTTTTTAAATTTTTGTATCATATTTCGTTGGCAGAACCTGGGCAGCATATGATTGATAGCATTTTATATTTTGGTTTGGTTCATTTGTGTTTTGGATATGCTCTCCCACAGTCAAAGGCTGGGGAGAGATCGAAGCAGCCATGGCTGCTCAAATTTCCATCGAATCGCCTAGAGAGAGGAGAGAGGTTTTCCACAGTTTTGGGTTTCTATCAGTCACATGAGTTGGTTTAATGAATGAAAAACTTTTATATTTTATACACAATATGGGTTGTTTCGGATTTTTTTTAAAACGATATGGGATTAAATGAGTAGGAAAAGCATCCAATATGTTTTTCTTGTAATTTGGTTTTTTTAAATAGAACAAGACTCCCTTAATGTCGAAGGTAACTGGTAAAATTAGACACAAAATATAACAGAAGGAAAAGTTAAATCAAATTTGACCCTTTGCCCTATTTTATTTTACTAATATATAGTTGTATGGGCAAAAAATTATATTTGATATGATTAAACCGTATCAGCATTAAGATGGTCTTCATGGGCTGCCACGTGTTACCAGTATGACTTCGACAAAGGACTACCCAAGGTCGAAGTGGTCCCTTGAGAGATGAAGGGCGGGGTCGATGAGTCATTAAAGATCAAGGTCGAGTCGAGCATTCATCTTAAATAGAGTAATAACGGTTAGTTTTAGGATAAGATACTAAAGAGAATATTCTAGTGGATATTCTTTGTACATGTACTATCATGGTTTTTAGATATATATGTTCCCTATAAATAGAAAGAGACATAATTATAGGGGACATAAGATATTCACTTGTAAGAAAACACATTGACTTTCTCTGTAGAACTTAGCTTTATTGCAAATATACAATATATACCTTTTTTCTTGAGATTCTTGTCTAACTTCTTCCCACGATCCGAATATTTAAAGGTCTATCAATCATTCACCATTGTCGGAAAGAATATCCTCAGATCTCACCCTTTTCGGGTTACTCACATATTCTTATTTACTTAAATGTCATTCACTGCTATTTATTATTATTTAATGTAATCTCCTACTCCCTCCGTTCCAATTTATGTGAACATATTTGACAGGGCACAAAGTTTAAGAAAAAATGAAGACTTTTAAAATTTGTGGTCCTAAATAATTCAAAAAGGGCCCAGGGTATTTGTATGGTTATAAAAGCTTCTCATTAAGGGTAGAATTGTAAGTTTAAGCAAAATTATTTTCAAATTTAGAAAGGGGTCATTCTTTTTGGAACGGACAAAAAAGGAAATAGGTTCACATAAAATGGAACAGAGGGAGTACCTTTTTGGATTATTGGACATTGCTAGTGTTATCGTTATTTATTACTATCTAAGTAAGATATGTATCACCATACTACAAAGTCAGGTAAATTATCTTTTGGACATTAATATTGGCTAAGATTGACTCTATTTTTATTAAATCTAATTATTTAAACCTAGATCTGAATTTTGGGTCAAACCGTTTGGCAACGTTTGTGGGAACTTCTTAGCTAATCTTTTGGTTTTCATTAGATCTACAACTCGCGTGATTTTTCTAACCTAACAAACCACAAAGTTTTTCTACATCTCTGAACGTAAAGAAATTTACATGGCATGTAACCAAGGAGACATACCTAAGGTGACAGGTGACAACCCGGCAACCTCATGAACGCTATCAACGAGAGCTATGAGATGTTGGGCGATGATATCACACCCACTGCCTCCCCCAGGTGCGAGAGGTCGCCTCTCCCTCATTGTAGCACTCCTAAGTTAAACTTACAGATCTTACCTCGATTTGGTCAAGTGACGAGTTGAGGAGGTGGACTACACTATTATCCCCGATTGTGATGCTTTTGGTGGTTGCGACCAATTTGGCAAGGCCGACTGCTTCGGTATTTTGGGCGCAATTGTATTATTACTTACTTGCAGGACGGCACCCTCCCAAGCGACAAAAATGAAGATAGAAAACTAAGAATGCAAGTAGCCAGATACAACCTCTTTCATAACGACTTATATAAGAGGACATATTGTGGCACTCTGGCGAAGTGTTTGGGTCCAAACCAAACCCAGCGCGTTCTCGAAGAGGTCTACAAAGGCCATTACGGCGCTCATTCTGGTAATCGAACACTGGTTAAATGCCTCATACGGGCAGGGTACTATTAGCCCACCATGAAAATAGACGCCTCAGAATTCGTGAAAAAATGCGAACAATGTCAGAAATATGCCCCAATAATCCAATAAGTGGGCAAACACCTTCATTTAGTCCCCTCTTCATAGCCGTTTATCAAGTGGGGGATGGACATCGTGGGTCCCCCTACCACCAGGGCGTGGTAATGTATGATTCCTTTCAGTTTTAACTGACTATTTCTCTAAATGAGTAAAAGCATGAGCGTTCACCCAAGTACGCGAACAAGAGGTAATCACCTCCTTATGGAAAAACATCATATGCCGATTCGGCCTACCTAAAGAGATTAGCTGCGACAACGGACCCCAGTTCACGGAAAAGAAACCGCTAAATTCTTCGAGCAATGGCACATTAAGAGGATACTTTCAACCCCTTACCACCCAGTGGTCAACGGGCATGCAGAATCCTCCAACAAGTCCATATTAAACATCATGAAGAAAAATCTTAAAGAAGCCAATAGACTGTGGCCAGAAATACTCCCTGGAGTATTATGGGCGTACAAAACCACCCCGAAGATGAGCATAGGGGAGACACTCTATTATTTAGTCTACGGAACAGAAGCAGTTATATCAGTCGAGGTCAGAGAGCCCAACCTAAGGTACTCCCATGAAAGCAGCACCAGCAATGATGGGAGTAGAAGGCAAGAGATTGTTGAGATCGACGAACGAAGAGACATGGTGTACATAAGAAAGGTCACCCAAAAGCAGAAAGTGGAATGTTACTACAATAAAGGCAAAGGCCAGGCCGCTCAAAGTCGGGGACTACGTACTCAAAGTCACAACCCAAGCAAGCAGAGATCCACGAGAAGGCAAACTGGGAACAAATAGGATGGCCCGTACAAAATTGTAGGCAAAGCAAACAAGGGTTCATTCCAACTAGAAAAAATGGAAGGAAAACAGTTACCGAACAATTGGAATATCAACCACCTCAAATACTTCAACTTCTAAAAAGGAGAAGTGCCCCCCAAGTCGTACTCTTTTTCCCTTACTTGAGTTTTGTCCCATTAGGGTTTTCTCAAGGAGGTTTTTAATGAGGCGACAGAAGGGACACTTCAAGTCGAAGTATGTGAAGAACAGACTGATTTCTCTTTCATTGCCCGACTCCTCATAACTCTCCAAGTCAAACAATGAAAGGACTAGTTAGACCGGGGCTGGGACTGGAATGCCAGCCAATGCCCAAAGTTTGTAACTTTCTGCAATTACATAATTAAAGCAACAACATCAAAGTAATAGAAACTAACGTTTATCAAAACCACCTTACCAAAAGGTTAAGTTGTACCAAGTTCGAACAATACCTACCGGCCCTCGGCCGTGATTTAACAATAGGTTATGTTCGACTCAACTCGAACAACACCTACTGGCCCTCGGCCACGATTTAACAAAAGGTTAAGTTTGACCCAGCTCGAACAACACCTACAGGACATCGGCCACGATTTAACAAAAGGTTAAATTCGACCCATCTCTAACAACACCTACCGGCCCCCGGCCGCAATTTAACAAAAGGTTAAGTTCGACCCAACTCGAACAACACTTACCGGCCCTCAACCGCGATTTAAGCCGATTTAACAAAAGGTTAAGTTTGATCCATCTCGAACAAACAACTATCGTCCCTCAACCACAATTTAAGGAAAGATAAGTTCGACCATGAACGAACAAACACCTACCGGTCCTCGGCCACAACTTAATGGAGGGTCAAATTCGACCAAGTTCAAACAACACATATCATCCAAATCTAAACGAAGAGACATAATCGACCTATGTAAATAAAGGGCTAATAAGGACTATAGATATTCGGCTTCAAGGCTACGACCAGCTAGAAGACAACAACAATAAAAAGAGCAAAAAGCATAACGAGCAAACAACAAAAGCAAAAATATACAAGTGCAGAAATAAATCACATGAATGAATGAAGGTGCGAGATACAACTTTAATATTACACATGTAAATAAAGAGATTTTTACAAAGGCTCTTGAAGACGCCGATAAAATACACAAAAAAGCAAAAATGAAATACTACTGGCCATCACCATCACGGCTTTCTCTGCCCTCACCAGATCGATATCCAATGATGTCATCACCCCAGCCACCGATACCCTCACCGTCTCAGTCCCCAGCATCCTCTCCACTCTCGCCCTGAGAGTAAACAGAACCGTACCAAGCGTCCTCCTCAAGCCAATCTATGCCATCTTCCACATCCTCCTCGTCAGGTCAAGGTGTAGCAGAGTCGTACCCACATGCGACACGAGCTTCGCGAGCCTTAACTCGGGCATCCTCAAAGGCCGCCTAAAATATGAAGCTCGTTGTGTGCAAGTCCCGAAACACATCTAGCCGGGCCTCGGCATGGATCCAGTCTTCGTACAACTCCTGAGGGACGCTGGGGAAATCAGAAGCATTAGAAAAAGTCTATGTAGGTAGTTGGGCCCTCTCAAACTCTAGAGCAATAACTCGGTCATAAAGGTCGTAGTTTTCCCTATCCAGCTCCCCGATCCTCTCCTTGAGCCAGTCCTCCTTAGCCCTCGCCATCAACTGATCATTCCCGCTCAGCCCGAAGAGTCTTGTTCGCCAACTCGAGGATGTCCACCTTCCTCTGAGCGTCTAACCGAGTAGACTCCGCCTTCTTGAGCTCCTCATGCTTCTCAGCAATCTCGCCACTAAGAGCCTCCGCCTGGAACTGGCATTCTTCAAGTTGGCCTCACAGCTGGAACACTTGGGCTTGAAGATCGATGCATTAGGCCTCCACGCCCCGCTGAGTTCGAACTCCTCCTCTCTGCTCCTCAACGTCCCCTCGAGGATCCTGCACTTCTCTACAGCTTGCATCAGCTCTTAATCTATCTTCTTCAAGTCCTCCCTCAGGGCCCGCACATCGCCGCCCTCACGAAGCCGACTTTGGAGATCCCAGTATTTACTGCGGTACTTAGTATATTTCCCTTTAAACTTCACAAAGATCTCTGTGCGCTTTTTTGCCCTCCGGGCACTCTCGATTTCTAGAATAACCGTCTGCAAATCAAAGGAAAAAGGTCAGAACTTAAAACAAGCCAAGGAATTAGAAAAAGGTCGTACATCAGTACTTACCCTGAGATCAAGGCCGGCAATGCTCTTCGACAAAGCATTGTCATCTATCTCCTTGAGGATCTTACCCTCCACGTCAGAACAGAGAGGACCGAGGGCAGGGACTTCCTCCTCGGTGTTCACCAGCAAATCACGATCTATTGGGATCGTCGTGGTCCTCGAACCTCCCTCCAATCTCACTTCGAGCTGAGTGAGCCCCCCATCGATCATCCTCAAGTCATCCAAATCAACATCGGAACCAGTCGCTCGAGAGGTTGAAGCCTCCTCTTGTCGCGAAAGTGCATGGCCGTCGCCAGCAGCCACCTCCTCAATCTCTCTCCCCTCAGAATGTAAGGGCACGCCTACACCGACTTCTACCAGTCTCGGGGCCTCGAGGCTCGGCTCAATATCATCGTTAACAAAAATTGTCGTTGTCTCACTTAACGTGAAACTTTCTTCCATAACGTCAACGACCGAAGAAACTCTGCCACCCACATCCACGGACCTCCCTTTTTGAGGTTGAAGATCCTCGTCATTGGTCAAGTGTTTGTCGTCCTCGTCAACAAGTAAAATTAAGGGTGGAGCGGAGGTCGCAACGGCCGGAACAGAGATGGGGGCGGAGGCGATGACAACTAGAATTGGGACGAAGGAAGAAGTGGCAATAGCTGAGACAGCGGCGGATATTGAAGGCGTAGTGGCCCTCCTCTTCCGAAATGAGGGTACGGGGGCCCTTGACCTCCTCGCAGCCCCTCTGACTGAACTTAGAGAAAAATTAAGAAGGAAGGGATCTAATCAGCAATATGGGCCACCAACTGGAGAGGTCGTATTGTAGCTGCAAAAAAGGAAGAGCTGATTAACCAACCCACAACAAGAAAAATGCTAAAAAACACAAACAACACGAGCACTTACGGGTGGGATTCCAGGCCTCAGGGAAGCCGGTGACAACGGATACTAGGACCTCGGTCCTGACAAAGAAATAATCGAGCCAAATATGCCGACTAGCCTTATCGTCCATCCTCACCACAAAGCATTTCCCCCCACAGTGGCGGAAATTCAGCAACATCGCTCGATAGAAATGGGGGTGAAAAGGTACACCAGGTGGCGCACCGTAATCTTGACGCGCCGTAATCACAACCTCGGCCAATTCGGCAAATTTTGCCAATATTTTGACCACCTTGAAAACGTAAGGGGCGAGCTATGCTGTGCATACGTTATAATGGCGGCATAATTCTTCTAACAACGGTGGGAAAGGGAACGAATAGCCGATTGTTAATGGATAGGCGTAAAGGGCGCAAAATCCGGGATGATGGACTCGCACTTCGTCATCACCCGCAAGGAACAACTCCATGCAATCAGGAAGGCTGAGCCTAGCCTTAAATTCGGCTAAACACTCGACCATCATTGTAGATCGAAACCTCTTAGTTACCACTTCCGCTGCTTTATGAAAATAGGGTTTGGCATCGGGGTACCTAGGTACAATCTCCTCCACAGTAGGGAGGGTTTCCTTCTCAACAACAACTGCAATGTCTCCCCCCCTGATCAGGGAATACAATAGCTAATGGGACAGAATGATCCTCCATATGGATATCAGATGAGAGGTTCGACATTGTTATAAAGGAAGATAAAGTAAAGAAAGCAACAGAAAAGCAGTAAAATCTTACGAAGGAGAAGAAGGATTTTTGCTTGAGAAATAGAGAGAGTGTGAAAAACTTCAAATTCAACGAGCCCTCCCCTATTTATAAGGTTTGGGGGCACCAGAATCGAAACGGATGGTCATAATTAGCACAAAAATTGAAATGGCAAAACCAATCAAGGGCCACGCGAGAATCGACGCAGTGCATCGGGAATCAGCCTTATCATGACGCATGACGTCATAACATCACTCCATCTCTTGGACCAAAAGGGTTCCAGCAAATCACCCGGGAAAATCAAAGGTTTGAAATTCGCAGCCCACAGAGAGCCACATTGCCTGCTCATCACGACGACTACGACCCGTATAGTCTGCTCGATAAGATCGACCACGAATGACATTATCCGCTCATTGAACTCGCCTGCAAGGACGACCTCAATAAGCGGAGGGACTAATTATATGGGCAAAAAATTATCTTTGATATGATTAAACCGTATCAGCATTAAGATGGTCTTCATGGGCTGCCACGTGTTACCAGTATGACTTCGACAAAGGACTACCCAAGGTCGAAGTGGTCCCTTGAGAGATGAAGGGCGGGGTCGATGAGTCATTAAAGATCAAGGTCGAGTCGAGCATTCATCTTAAATAGAGTAATAACGGTTAGTTTTAGGATAAGATACTAAAGAGAATATTCTAGTGGATATTCTTTGTACATGTACTATCATGGTTTTTAGATATATATGTTCCCTATAAATAGAAAGAGACATAATTATAGGGGACATAAGATATTCACTTGTAAGAAAACACATTGACTTTCTCTGTAGAACCTGGCTTTATTGCAAATATACAATATATACTTTTTTCTTGAGATTCTTGTATAACTTCTCCCCATGATCCAAGAACGATCCGAATATTCAAAGGCTCATCAATCATTTCATTCATCATTGTCAGAAAGAATATCCGTAGATCTCACCCTTTTCGGGTTACTCACATGTTTTTATTTACTTAAATGTCATTCATGGTTATTTATTATTTTTTAATGCTATCTCCTACCTTTTGGGATTATGGAACATTGCTGGTGTTATCGTCATTTATTACTAGCTAAGTAAGATATCTTTTGGACATTAATATCGGCTAAGATTTACTCTATT